TGGACTAATCGGTTAGTGATTGTTGTATACTTGATCAGTATGAACAATTTGGTGATATTTACAGTATTATATAATAATCAAACAGCAAAATTTCCGTTAAAAACAATCTACAATTAAAAAGTGATTTCTCCTGGACTATTTCTCCTGGATAAGGTTTGATATTACAGTTCAATGACATCATGATATTCTAAGATCATGACAATTATCTCAATTCAAAGTAAAAAAACTTTTGAAACCGTTTTTTAGCCTAAACTCTCAAAACAAAATGAGATAAATCATGAGTATCGCTTGATAAATGGATGGACAAACCTGTTTTGTTTTCCCAAAGACGAATATTGCGTCAGTTATTCAGAGTTGATACAAAGAGAATTGTTGTGGCTAGAATTTTGTTTTTTTTATATTTTTTTTCCATTCTGTTTTCCAAAAATTATGAAATTATTCTTAAGCGACCCTAATCCTAACCTAACCCCAACCCCAACAACCTACTCCGAGTCATTTTCGGAGAAGAAGAACTGTGTGGCTCCGACCTTGGAGATCTCAGTTTTACTCGTCGTTTTGTGACGATTAACAATTTTTGACGATTAAAACTGAACAAAAAACCTGGTTTGAAAACCTCGTTTTTGATGAGCAAGGTGTTTTAAGTTGAGCAAAAGCACTCTTAACTACTTTAAATTTGATTAAAAACATATTTTAACTTTGTTCTGAACATCTTGCCCTTTATGAAAAAATGGTTATCATACAATATTCATACATGCAAACTGTATGATAACTACTTTTTAGCTTCAAATTATATTTTCGTTTTTGATGAGCAATGTCCTTTAAATTGAGCAAAAGCACTATTAAATAATTTAAATTTGTTTATAAACAAGTTTAAACAATTTCTGAAAATCTTGCCTTTCATGAAAAAATGGTTATCATACAATTTTCTTATATGGAAATTTTATGATAACCATTTTTTTTTTCAAAAAAAAAAAATAAACGTAGTTATTTTTCATCACCAGACTGTTGTATTTGGTTCAAATAGCCGGAGAAACTAGATTGAATCTTTTTTCAATGGTTTTTTGAAACTGTATGAAAATTGTATGATTAGCATTTTTCCATACATTTGATGCAGGCAATTGTATGATAAGCTTTTTCGGTGTGGGGAAATTTAAAATAAGCATTTTAGGTTTAGGGATGTCAACCCGGGGTCACATTACCTTTCCAGGCCTTTTTGTTGGTTCTAATCGGTTTTCTTTATAAGACCGCTCAAAAACCGCTCTAAAACCGATCAAATCTTGCTTGAAAAACCGTTCAAAAATCACCGCAAGAAATGAGCGGTTTTTGAGCGCTTTTTAAGCAAGATTTGAGCGGTTTGAGCGGTTTTTCCAAAAAAAACCGCCCAAACCGCTCAAACCGCTCAAATCTTGCTGTAAAACCGCTCAAACCGCTCATATCTTGAGCTGTTTTTGAGCGGGATCTCGACCCGGGTATAAGTAGAATTAGCTGTAACAAAGTAACATTTTATCATGGCACAGTCAAACAACGAATCTAACGTGAGGGGAATACCTTCAATTTGGCAAAACCATACGGTGGATCTACCAATCCCTGGATCCACCAATCCGCCAATCCCTGTATCCACCAATCCACCAATCCCTGGATCCCTCCACTCTTCGGGATTGGTGGATCCACCAATTCCGAAGAGTGGAGCGACCTTTTTCATTTAGCTATTACTGCGAAGGAATACGTAGATATCGAAAACCTACTCAATCCACAATACACCACCCACAACCATTAGTACTCGAGAATCCGACGAAGAATGAATCGGGAAACCAGAAAACAGCGAGACTTGCGAGGAATAACAAAGAACAAAACCAATATGTCGACGAAGAAACGACATCGATCAAGTTAGAAACGAAACAAGTTAATGGAAGGAGAAGCGACGAAGCCGAGCAGAATCTTTGCGCAATCCTCTATTTAGCCCTCGGAAACAAAGAAAAAGGATATTCGGACTGAAATTTACAAGATTAAGAAAGTCTTCAAACCTTCTTCAAACAATTTTGGGAAAATGTCATATTTGAAAGGCCGAATATTCACGAAAGTGTAGATAACTTAGTGGCACAACTTTCAAATAATTCCGTTGGAGAAGTATGGTTCACTAATTTAGATTCAAAAACGCATACAGTCAGCTATCTTGGGACGATTTTACCTGTAACCAGTGTAATTTTAGAATTGTACGTGGCGATATTACCGGCCCGTATCAGTTTTTAAATAGTTTTTCCGGAGTTGGCGATATAATTAAAGAATTTCAAAGAGTCATGTATTCAACGTTGGGAACAATTTCAATTACAAAATATTATTTAGATGACATTTTAATAACATTCAAAAGAAGCTGCTTTGAACACAAAAACACACTTTAGTGATTTTATTGATTTTAGATGATAAGAATTTCAACATTCAAAGGTTTGATTTAAAACTTCCAGGTCTTTAAATTGTCCGTTGATTGATAAAACAGTAGCAGTCAAAGGTTTAGCAAAGCCCAAAAAACTGAAGGAATTAAGATAGTTTTTCGGGTCCACGAACCAATACAATATATTCGGCCGAATCTAACCATCCTTGGAAAGCCCATCACGTCCTTTGCTAGACAAAAAACAAAAAAAAATAATTTTTCATTGGAAGGAAGACCAAACAAAAGCATTCGATAGAACTAAACAAGAAACCGTAAGCTTGGCAGAAAATACTCATTTTGATATACAACGTAGTACCAGAATGACGACAGACGCATCACATAACAGATTAGGGGCATCTTTAGAGCAACGCAACAGGAGAATTTGGCAGATAGCTTCTTTTGCTCCAAGATTTTTAAAACCATATGAATCTAAGTTTTCCACAATGTAATGGAAGTTTTAGGGGTTGTTTTGGCGGTGGAACATTATGATTATCTTTATGAATCAGATTTTTATTTTTTTAGAAACTAAAGCCCTATTTTCCGCCCTTTCAACAAACCACAGGAAAAGTTCATACCACAGTAGATTAGTTAGATATGTCGATCGTTTGCTAATAGTTAATTTTTCAATTAACACTTGACAGGAAAAGATATGGGATTCACCAACTTAATCTCAAGAATTCCATCAAGGAAGTCCTTATCCCAATCAAATCATGACAAAGAATTCGTAATGGCAACATCAATAAAACTAAAAGAGCAATTTATATTTCTGACAATCAAAAACAGTTATGCAATTCGATTGGTTCAATTTTGGATAAATCCGATT